TTCTTCCTTTCATGACTTTAGAGCAAGAAAAAATGGTCAGAAAACAAGAAAAGGTACAAAAAACGCATCAGAAACAGTTTCCCCTTTGCAAAATCGCATTACCTCCCTCGTGTACTCCTCCTGGGAAAAGAGAACTTCTTGTTCTTCGCAGCTGTATATCTCGTTTCAGAGTGATTTTCGACATATGCGTCAAGAGGAAAAAGTGTTCAGCATGTCCTACTTTACCGGAATCAGGAATAAAAAATGTGACTTCAGCCCTCCTTTGACCGTCAGAAAAAGCGAAATAGTATCAGAAAGAGGATCTCGCAATAGGGCGCGATATGACCTTTTGTGCTTTCCTAATAAAAGAGCATAACTTGTCTAGGATTACGGTTACCGAAATGTTACCAAAATGTTGCTCACAATTTGAAACTGAACAATTTTTCAGTTGACTACGGTCGATTGAGATACACCGGCCTAGCATCCCAGTTTCAAACCTATAGATTTCGATTTAGAGTAATTCTATCATCAAAAATTCATCCACTAAACTTCTGTTATTCAACAAAATCTGTCCACCGTTCTAGTTGACCAATTCTTTCTATCATCACTAACCGCCGAGTCACACCCCTTTCAAGTCATTGCGCTCATTAAAAATGTTGCCAAAATTTCCGTTCCATCACCTCTGCGTTTTGCAAAGATCGTTAGTCAAAAAGTCAGACACAAGTCATGGTTTGGTAGACTTGTGTGTCATTTTGTGTTGTGTTAGTTTCCTGGCATCTGAGACCTCATCATTCCACTCCCCAAAACCCCCAAAAAACCCCAACAAACCTCCCGAATCGAAGCAGGCATCCTGTTGAAGAAGTCGTGTGGTGCGATGGGTGGAGCCGATGATGGGTGATGTGGCGGAATGGAAAGAGACAACTCGTCGCCGCGACTATTGACGGCCCACTTCTTGTTGCTCATCATTAGCATCTTCTTTTTCGGCCCTGAAAAATGAGAAAATTGATATACAATAGATGGTATGTGGCAGGGAGGGACAAGGAAAGGGAGGACAATTAAATTATTGAAAATATAGGATGTAGAAGTGGGTTTTGCCGTCAAAATCTTATTTAGAACCCTTTGAAAGCAGTGAAAACTAGTCAAAACCTCGAAAAAACTCATTTTCGGTCATTTTGCAGAAAAAGTGATCATGTGGCTCAGTGGGATTTCGGGTCTCAGCTACCGATCTGAAGACTCGGGTTCAATCCCCCACGGGGTAGAACTTTTTTGTTTTTTTTTTGTAGAAGCAGATGAAGTTTTTGTGCTCCAAAAGGTCAAAAATGAGCTCCGAACCCTCGAAAACTGCTTGAAAATTCGAAATCCGTAACTGGAATTCCCCGGCTCCAAGGCTCCCTTATAGGCTTATACGTGCTAAAAATGGGGGTTTGACGCTATATACACGCTGAAAACCCTTCAAAAATGTTCAAATTGTCGAAAAAATGTGATTTTGACCGATTTTGAAAAAAAGTGGGAAAATGGCTCAGTGGGATTTTCGGGGTCACCTACCAATCTGAAGACCCGAGTTCGATCCCGCTTGTGGTCAAACTTTTTTTGCTTTTTTTCTTGTGTCAGGAAATAAAGTTTTATAGCCTTCTAAATGCTCTAAACCCCTCTGAAAGCTCAGCAAAGTGGTGTTTCTGACATTTTTTTTCGATACAGCATCAAATTTGAAAGTTCAAGGTTCAAACCTACTTGAGACCAATATATATTTTTTTCAATTCTTCCAAAATATTTCCAAATCCAAAAAAAAACAACGAAAAACTACCAAAAATGCTGAAAATGACACACCCTCCGGAAGTATTTCAAGTGTTTTCAAGTGGTCGTTGCTCGCAGAGGCCTCCAAAATGAAGAGAAACGTCATTTACAGATATTTTCAGAATGGGAAAGGTAAATAGAAAAAGTTCAGATGATCAGGAGACAGAAGAAAAAAAGAAAAAAAATGTTTGACCACTGGGGGGTTTGAACCCCTGGCTTTCAGAATGGTAGGTCATCGAAAATCGCACTGAGCCATTTTACACTTTTTTGGAAATTGCTCAAAAACGCCAAGTTTTGAAAAATAAAGGGGTTTCGAAGGGTTTTGAGTCGCCTTCAGACAGTTTCGAGCTTGATAGACAGCAAAAAAGCTCGTTTTGCATTTTTGACTTTTCGATTTTTGACCCAAAAAAAGAAAATAATAGTTTCCGGTTCACTTCACCATTCTCATTCTCTAGTCCTAAAAATAAAGAACAAAATGCAAAAATAATTTGTTTTGGGTCTCCTTCACTCCTCCATCTCCTCCTCCCTTAAAAAGTTGTAGGCGGTAATTATTCCATGCGGGGATTTCGAGAGCAGAGGTTGAGGAGGGATTAAAATAAGACATCAGAGATTGCAAGAAAAAGAAGAACTTTCTTTTTTTGTTTCTTCTTTTTTTTCGAATTTTCGGAGCGAAAGTTCAAATATTATTGCGTTTTGTTGACTTTTTGGATCGGGAGGAATTGACACTAGGAGGACTTTGGACCTGTTGGAAGTGAACAATTATATCAGGAAATGAAAAGAAAATTAGAAAAATAAAGAAAAAAAAAAGTTCGACCACAGTGGGGATTGAACCCTGGACGTTCAGATTGGTAGGTCTTTGAAAAACCCACTGAGCCATTTTTTCACTTTTTTCAAAATTGTTCAAAAACATGTTTTTTCGAAGTTTTATTCGGTTCTTTTTTCTGAGAATTCAGGACATTTCAGACGCTTCTGGTTTTGCTTTCTTTAGAAAAACAAAAAACAAAAAATTTTGACCACAATGGGGGTTGAACCCCTGGCCTTCAGATTGGTAGATGGCTTTGAAAATCTCACTGAGCCACACGGATGGTTTTTTCAAAAATGCTCAGAACAGGGTTTTTAGTGGTTTCCGAGGGTTCGGAGCACATTTTCAACATTTTCTGGTCCAAAAACCTCATTTTCCTCCCCAAAGAAAAAAATAAAAAAATTTGACCCGAAGGGGGTTCGAACCCCTGACCCTCAGATTGGTAGGTGATCTGAAAAATCCCACTGAGCCATTTAGACACTTTTTTGAAAAATGGCTGGGAACGTGATTTTTCGAGGTTTTGAACTGTTTTGAGCTCATTTCTTGCGGTTTCAGACCTTGTACCAAGTGTGCAAGGTGAATCTTACGCGATTTAGGGGAGGGGCGGACTTGGGTTTTTGGGAGTTCAGGTAACATTAAGCTAACATTTTTTTTTTCATGAAATTTCCAAAGTATTTTGTTAATGCTCCTTTAAATCAAAACCTCAAAAAACTGCGGAGGAAAGAAAAAAGTCAGAAGTTTAGGTTTCAAACCTTAGTGATCACCCTTTATATATACAATTTTTGTTGAATATTTTGGTTGTTTATAGTGCTTACAGGAAATAATTAATAGGTTTACTGCTTCTTAGAATGATCAGAAAATAGTGAAAACGTGATTGAAAAACATGTTGAAAAGTCAGAAGAATGTGGGGTTAGAAGATCTATGAAAACGTAGTAGGAAAGGTTGGTCGGTGAGTGGTGTTTTAGGAACATTTTGAAGAAAATCAGATGTATCACGGTTAGGAGTGGAGATAAAAGAAAAGTTTTAACTAAAAAGTTGTTTGACATTGAAATCTGAACAAAATTGTAGTTGATCACTTTTTGATAGCTCCAACGGGAACTGAGATACGGTAGCCTTAAAGGAACATCAGGCTCTTCACGGAGTAGGCTAGGTGTAAAGCACTATATCTTTGTTAGCAGTAGAGTTATCAAAAAAGTAGCAACTAATAAATTGTAGAAAATTAAATTTTACACAAAAAACTAGTTAACCACTTTTTGATATCTCTAACCACAACTGAGATAAGCTGCCTACAAACTGGGAGACGCCCCTTTCTGCAAGTCTCCAACTACCCCGTCTGGCAAGGGGTTGGTCTGTCTATCAGTAAGGAAAGGGGCGGAGCTTGTATCTCTGCAACTTTTTTCAAAAATCTCAGAAAACTCGAAATTATGAAATCGGAAATGACATTTCACAAAATGGTACTGGGCTACGAGGCGGTGGACGTGCCAAGTTGCAAAAGAGGGTGCCCTGTAATTATTTTAATTTCGAAATAAGGTGAAAGTGGTATATGGGTATGTACTTTTGCGAAGGAATTATCGAAATTTGAAACCGGAAGTGCAAAGGGAAATGACATTCAGGTTTGCTAAAAATTTGGAAGTTTCTTGGAGTTTTGAACCTAAAACTCGGGAAAGGGGGAGGGAGCAGATCGAAAAGTGACCGTTTGTTGAGAGCGGTGTATCTTGGTTGATCGCAGAGCTAGAATGAAGTTGACAACTAAAAAGCTGTTCAAAATTGAAAATTGAACAAAATCGTAGTTGAGCCCTTCTCACTATCTCTAACCCTAAACAAGTTACACCTGCTTGAAAAAAGTCTTCTCATTACCCGGAAGAAGCAACCCTCATACCTGCAACCCCAAGGGTTCCTTCAACACTGACGCTTGCAAAATATGAAAACAGTCACAAAACTAAAAATACCATCGAAAAATAATTTTTTACTCCAATTTCTATCTCCGGAGACCCAAATTAATTGGTATTCTTCCCCTCTCCTCTCCAAGAAAAGAGGGGAGTCAAGCCAGGAAGTGTTCTTCCCCATCGCCTACACTTTTCCTTATTATTTTGTGCTAAAAATGAAGGATATATCTGGAAAAAGGAACAACTGAATTATTTGTCCAAGAAAAACGTATTGACTGTGAGTGGGGGCGATCGGGGTGAGAGCAGGGGCCCTAGAAAGCGCTCGTTGAAAATCCTTAGGAAGCCTGAGAAGGACTTGAAAAGCGCAAATAGCGCTTAGCATGCCCTAAACCACCTTAGGTATTTTTAGGAGCTTTTTACAAGCTCTGCGATGCCTTAAAAACCTTTAGAAGCCTTCGAAAAGCTCAAGAAAGCCTCTGAAAAGCTCAGAAAGTTCTAGAAGGTCTCAGAAAGTCCTAAGAGGCTCTAAAAAGCTTTAGAAAGCCCTGAGAGATCTTAGAAAGCCTCAAAAGGCTTTAAGATGCCTTAAACAGCCTTATGGGCTTTCTAGGCCTAAACACCGTATGTCCTCCAGGCCCTTCTAGCCTCTAGTACCCAACCCCAGAACGGATAGTGTCATCTCTATCATCTTGAAAAGGTCTGCCCCCCCCCTCCAAGTCAGAATAACGGATGAACAGATATTCAATGAAATGAGAACTTTTCATTAAAAAGAAGATATGATTCAGAAAAATGTGTCTAGGTCTTCTCTCCACCATCATGTTTTCGTCATGATGCAACATGGTGCATTGACCGTGAACAAATTCAGATGAAAAAGTGATGATCTGGTCGTGGTTTTTGAGTTGTTTATCTCCCCAGAGAGATGAGTTAGAAGTTCTTCTCTAGAGAGTGAGGATTCCAGATGGATGCGCTTTTTTTCTGACTGAAAATCACGTGTAAAACAAAGAGGTTCTGGGGTCGGAAAGTGGGAAAAATGGGTCTGAAATTCTCGAAAGTGACTAGAAATCGGGTTTCCAGCATATTTGAAAAAGGAAGGTTGAATGGCTCAGTGAAATTTTCTAGGCCATCTACCAATTTCAAGGCCATCTACCAAAAAGGCCAGGGGTTCGAACCCACCTGTGGTCAAAATTTTTCGTTTCTTCCTTGAGGGAGCCAAATGAGCCAGGTGAGCTAAGTGAGTTGCGGGTGCGCTCAGAACCATTAAAAAACCGCAGAAATCGTGCTTTCGAGCAATTTTGGAAAATTTGTTCTGATGGCTCGGTGAAATTTTCGAGGTCATTCATCATGCGGGAGGTCCAGGGTTCAATCACATTCGGGCTAAACCTTTTTTGTTTTTTTTTTCGTTTAGGACAGAAAAAAATAATTTTAAGAACCTTAGAATCTCAGAATTTTCCAAAGTTCGAAAAAAATAATTTTCAAAAAAAAAAAACTTTTTTTTTCAATTTTTTTCAAAACACGCCAACCAAACATGTTCATAGCCTGAACCTTCCCTTTCTAAGTTCAAAACCAAAAGTGCATCTTTCTCTCCGTTTAAAAAACAACCTTTAGACACCGCGAACTTTACGTCACTCAAGTATCCAATATTTTCTCACAGAGCCTTAAGATCAGCAGACAAACTCACATATTCTGAGCGAATCCAGAAAAAAACTTGTTAAAAATTCACGTATACATGATCCATAAGGTTCATATTTAGGTATGTGGGATTAGATGATCTGTCGCAAGTTCAGAGTTCAGTGGGGAAAGAGCCTGGGAGAATGGTTGAGTGTTTGGAGCAGTCCAGGAGCGAGATACGAAAGAATTATTAACTAGAAACTGAAAAAAGTTACCATGTTTGGAACAAGTATAACTGGGTCAGGATTGATGAGGATTGATTATTGGTTAGGGATGACCAGGAGTAGACTAGTAAAAGTAACTATGTTTTGGAACAAGTATAACTTGGTTCGGATTGATGTTATCAAAATTTTGTTGACTAAAATTTCATTTCTTATCAAATTCTGAGCAACTTGTCAGTTGACCACTTCCTTCTATCTCCACTAACAGCTGAGTTACACTTCACTGAAGATATTGCTCATTATTTCTCATTAAAAATGTTGCCAAATTTTCCGTTTCATCAAATCCAAAAATGCAAAGATCATCCAATAAGTCAAACACAAAAACACATTTTGTACCCATCATAACCCGTCATGGTTTGCTAGACGCGTGTGTCATTTTGTGTAAGTCAAAAATTCAAAAAAAAAAAGAGGGAAGTTCTGTCTGGAGAGGAATTAATGTTTTTTTTTGTGAGTGCACTCTGTGACCACTTGATGATTATAATTAATAATATACAAGAAGATTTGCGCCGCTTCGCGGCTCCAATCTTCTTGCTTCACACGGGTCGGGTGAGTTCGCTTGGGAAAGCTTCGGTTTTAAAAATGATGTTGTTGTGAAAATGGAAAGTGATAAGGGGAAAAATAATAATTCAATTCCGAAGGGTGTCTTGATTTCAACTGTGACAGTTCACGTTAGCTTGCAGTTCTTTTTCCGCCAGCGAGTCTTTTGAGAGCCCTATCTTTCATGGAAGTTCTCCCAAATGATATATTAGTATTCAATAGGTTATGGCCCATCTTATGGGGGCGAAAATTCGACCAGCCCAAGGTAAAAAAATTTGCAAAAGGAAAGTTTGCGGAAATCGCTATTTCTTGAGTTATGACGGTCTGAAGGTAGTGTTTTCTCGAAAAATCAACGTAATTTTCAAAAACTCGTAACTAGCTTTTAATTTAACGAATTCGGTCGGTCAAAAAATGAAAATGTAGGGTTTTGTATATACTGTGTGGCGGAAATAAGTGTGAAAAAGAACCTAGTAAGTTTTGCATTTTATGAGAATCCTGGCGATGGCCACTTTTTGAATTTTTTTCCTGATGATGCTAAAAATTTGAAAAAAATTTGTAAGAATAGCGAAAAAAAAGTTATACATGTTTGCACAATAAAAACTGAAAAAAAAATTTTTTTCAAGAAAAATTTTTTTTTT